ATATTTAAAACATTAGCACAGAGAATAAAAAATACCAGTAATGAAAAAAAGTACCATGAAAAAACAAAGTCGCATATAAAGACAAAGTCATTAATACTAGAAATTTCAACAGAAAGTCTACAAGTCAGATGTTCTCCATCCTCTGATAGAAAGTAGCAGTCGGGAGGTGGTGTTGCACACCTTTAATCCCAGCACTCAGGAGGCAGAGGCAGGTGAATTTCTGAGTTTGAAGCCAACCTGATCTAAAAAGTGAGTTCCAGGACAGCCAAAGTACACAGAGGAACACTGTCTTGAAAAAAACAAAACAAACAAACAAAAGTAGCTACTGGAGCCAATGACAAGCTCAGCAGTTAAAGGCACTTGGTATGCAAGCCTGATGGCCTGAGTTCACTATCTAGAACCCACTTAAAGGGAGGAGAAAATTCTGGCCATATTTGTACCTTGTCATGAATGTCCATATATTATATAAATGAACACACACAGTAATGCTATTAAAAAAAAATTAAAAAAAAAACAAAAAAAAACGAGGCTGGAGAGATGGCTCAGAGGTTAAGAGCACTGCTTGCTCTTCCAAAGGTCCTGAGTTCAATTCCCAGCAACAACATGGTGGCTCACAACCATCTGTAATGAGATCTGGTGCCATCTTCTGGCCTGCAGAGATACATGCAGACAGAACACTGTATACATAATAAATAAATAAATCTTTAAAAAAAAAAAAAAACCACACACAATTGCAGGCAAATCTTCATAAAGAACACACCTATAAAAATTGTAAGATACCTGAAAACATAATTCAGCAACATATAAAAACCATCATTCATAATCAGGTTGGCTTTATCACAGGAATTTATAGGCAACATACACACATAAAATGCAATATATCACATAAGTTTACATAAATGTAGAAATCACAAGATCATACCAATAGAAGCAGAAGTTTTTACTTTTTCCCATTCAAAGGTTTTACCAAAATCCAGCACCCATAATTAAAGTCATGAAGTAGAAATAGAAAGAACATCCCTCATAAAATAAAAACAATATAGAACAAACAATTAGCAAACATTATAGTAAATAAGAAAAAAGTCAAAGAATATTCATTAAAGTCAAGATAAAGACAAGGGTGGCCATTTTCTCCATTGTTATTTCAACATAGTGCAAGACATCTTGAGTAGACAAATAAAAAAGGGAAGGAAATAAAATGAATACAATAAGGAAACATCAGTGTGTGCTGAATTGCACATAATATCAGATAAGAACCCCTAAAGACTACACCAGAAAAAATTAAAAGTGATTTAGAAAAATAAAAAAATCAGCAACACCCTAGAATACAAAATCAAAAGCATGGCTGGGGAAATGACTCAGTGGGTAAAAGCACTTGATGTGCAAGCCTGGTGACCTTAGTCAAAATCCCAGAACTCATAAAGCACATAAAAGCATGATGTAGTAACTCAAGAATCTATAATCCTTTCATAGCTATGGAAAATGACACAGAGCCGGAAGAATCTAGCAAAGTTCAAAGGCTAGCTGGTCTATTTAAGAGGCAGTGTCTCAAAAGAAAGTGTGTGTGTGTGTGTGTGTGTGTGTGTGTGTGTGTGTGTGTGTGTGTGTTTGTCTCAACCAAGGAAAGCAAGGAACACCTAAAATTTGTCCACTGGCCTCTACATGCACACCCACTCTTATACAATACATATATACAAGCACATACACATGAACACACACATACACAAAATCAGAGGCTTTCTGATGTCAATAATAACAAGCATACTATAAACAAAATCAGGAAAACAATTGCATTCAAAATAGATACATGCAGAAAAGCAATCAAAAATCCCTGGAATAACTTGTAATAAGAATAAACAAGGAAGTGAAAGGCAGTTATTCTGAAAAGTGTAGTAGCAAAGAAAAACAAATTAAAAACAACACTTCAAAAAGGAAAAACCTTCTGTGCTATGGACTGGCATAATTAATGTAAAGACGGCTGTAACTCCAAAAGCAAACTTTGAAGTTCCATGCAATATGCATAAAATTTCAATAACATTCTTTATATATAAAACCAAAAGTCCAGCTAGGTAGTGGTGGCGCACGCCTTTAATCCCAGCACTTGGGAGGCAGAGGCAGGTGAATCTCTGTCAGTTCAAGGCCAGCCTGGTCTACAAATTGAATTCCAGGACAGCCATGGCTACAACAGAGAAACAAAACAATTAAAAAATTAGAAAACAGAAAGTTCTAGTGTATATGGAAGCATAAAAGAACATTGCTAACCAAAGCAATTCTGAGGAAAAAGAACAATGTTCATGTTATTTCCATACCTGATTTCCTGTTTTACCACTGAGTCGGTGACAAAAACATCACCAATAGAAACATGTGACTCCACCCAGATGTAAACCTATGCAGCTAGACCCACCCATCTTTGGCAAAGATGCTGCAAACATACAATAGAGAAAAGACAGTCTACTCCAACAGCTCTTGCTACCAAACTGGATAGCCACATTCAGAATGAATAAAATTAGAACTTCTCCCTCTGCATAAAATAATTAATTCTAAATGGATTGAATAACTTAATATAAAATCTGAAATTCCAAAAGCTTTAGAGGGAAAAAACAAAGAAAACATTTCAAGATAAGTATAGGCAAGGACATTTGGGGAGGGAGAGCACAGCAGGTGTGAGTGAAATAAAAAAAGCTGCAACATAGCACATGGAGTGGTGTGAAAAGACAGCTAACAGTCTACGGAACAGGAAAACATCTTTGCTAGCCAAACATGCAATGACAGGATTAGTATGTAATATATATAAAGACAAAAAGAAAAAAAATCAATCCTGCAACCCAATATATAAATGGACAAATTAAGTGATCAGAATTCTCAAAGGATGGATTACAAATGGCCATTGAGGCTCCTTCCTCCTCAGACAAATCTCAAAGAATGATTTCTATGGTAGTAGTCAAACCTTTCTTGGATTCAGTTGGGTTTTTCTGCTTTAAGACTTATTTATTTATTTTACGTATGAGAGTTCTATCTGCAGGTATGACTTTATGCCAGAAGAGGGCATTGGATCCCACTACAGATGGTTGTGAGCCGCCATGTGGTTGTTGGGAATTGAACTCGGGATGTCTGGAAGAGGAGTCACAACTGCTGAGCCATCTCTCCAGCCCCATCGGATCCAGTTTTTAATAATTACTCTATCAAATATAGTATACATCATACAATAAAGCTTCAAAAGGCCTACAGAATTCAGAGCTACCTCCACAATTGAGAAATAAGACATTTCATGATACCACTTGTTACTGCCTACTTGGAATATTTTTATCCTTTAATAATGAAAAGAGAAATCATTTGATTAGAGACAATGAAGCACAAATGAAGCTTGTTTGCTGAGTAAATCATCGATACACTATCTCATTAACCTTTATTTTGATCTTTTTCTTATTTGATGGTAGAGGGTATCAAAGCCAAGGCCAACCACATTGGAGAAATGTTCTGAAACTGACTTTCAACAGTAGCTTCATTTCCAACTCACTAATACTTGCCCAATGTTTACTCACCACCCCTCAATTTTCTCACCAAACTGTCAACACCAGCACTGCAACAATTAGTCTTCTTGTTACAATATAGACAGAGCAAAGATTCCTTCAACTTTCTTTGCTTACTTCTGAGTGCTGGCACACAAAGGATGCTTAAAAACCACCATCTAATACATACATGCATCTAATATCTATATTATGTATGTATAGATATATATCTATACACACATATATGACATTTTACTTTTAATTACATGTATGTATATCCAGGTATGTACAACTAAATGTAGATGCCCAAAAACATAAAAAGAGGGTGCTATATGCTGGAGTTACACGCAGTCGTGAGTAGACTGATAGAGTTAGGAACTCAACTCTGGCCCTTTGCTAAACCATCTCACCAGCCCACATAATTCATGTCTTCTGAGGAACATATAAGCTTTATTGAAAACAGTGGTGCTGTTTCTATTCATTACTAGCCTTACACTGAGAAAACGTATTAAACATACTTGTCATTAATGTCCATTTAAGAGATAGATTATAAATAATTGACATGAATGGGCTTATGCATTTCTATCAATGTGAAACATAATGGACTAACCAGTATGTTTATATAATTTATTTATAGATATGTCTGTATGAATGCATTACCAACCTTTGACTTACATCACCTCAGTGCAAATAGTTTCTTTATATATTTTCTGTTGATGCTCTGTCAGATAGTGTCTTACTGGTCTTCAATTGTAGGCTCAAGCTATTTTCCTGCTTCAGCGTTCTATGGAGGGTAGGGACCACAGGCAAGCAAAATTAGGACAAAGTTACTTGCCAATCGTATTTTCAAAAGTAAAATGATGAAAGGCCAAGATGTCTTGTTAGGAATCTTGTTAGACTAACGATTAAAAATAATACACCTGCAATGTTATTACTTTGACTTGTTTTATTCCAAGCACATTTAATAGCTTCAACTCCTGGCACTTCCTCCTTAAAGGCAGCAACACTACATTTAAAAATACGTTACTTGGGGCTGGAGAGATGGTTCAGCAGTTAAAAGCCCTGGCTACTCTTCCAAAGGACTGGGATTAAGATTCGCTGCACCCATAAGCTCACAAACATCTGCAACTTCAGTTCCAGCGTGCTCCTCTGGACTCCACAGGCACTGCACAAACATAGTACAGGCAATACACTCACACACAGAAATTAATACTTTGCTCATCCCAGGCCCGAATGTTTGTTCAATTGATAAGCAACATGGAACCCAGGATAGGACACTGAATAATGTCCCAAATGGCACTACACTGCACACTGGGCCCGGCTTAGGTAAGTCTAAGCACAACAGATTTCTTTCAAAGCTGATGTTTACTGACACATGGGTGGGTGATGACAACCACCTTTTCATATGAGGAATTTATTGTGGCTTACCTTTTCCAAATGTTTATTACTAATTTTATGTAATAAGGAAAATTATGAAAGGCACAGGCAATATTGTGAGTTAGACTAACGTTTTTAATAGGTTTTTTGATGAGTTACTTTGGTATACATATGTTCTCTGTGTTATGAGACAAACTGATGTTATAAGCTCGGTAAAACAGAACATACTTATGTAAATAATCAAGTTTTTAACAAATACTCAGAACTTATTGTATCTCTTTCATGTGGTTTATTTTAAGGAACACTCAACAAATTAATCTTCAATATCTTCACATTTCTTTCATAGGACTCAACCACATGAGAAATTTTCATAAATTTTATCTTATTGGTAAAAACACAACTTCCTTATATTTACAGACAATTTCATTTAGTTGGAACTGGTTCTTAAACCTCCCATGTTATGTTTAAACCCAGTAACTAGCACAGGCTTCATTCAATACTGTAACTGTCTAGCCTCTATTTTCTTGTTGCTGGAATGAAAGGCACACACCAGCACACCTGGTGTACAGGTTCTCATCTTACAGAAAGCTGCATACAAGGACCAAAATTGTACTTCTGCAGCTCTCATAATCTAATATCTCTCTGCTTTCTTTGTTCATACCTCAAGATAAAAGTTGAGGTCAGCAGCCGGGCGGTGGTGGCGCACGCCTTTAATCCCAGCACTCGGGAGGCAGAGGCAGGCGGATCTCGGTGAGTTCGAGGCCAGCCTGGGCTACCAAGTGAGTCCCAGGAAAGGCGCAAAGCTACACAGAGAAACCCTGTCTCGAAAAA